ATATTAAGTCATGCTTAGTTTCTTTTATCTCCCTATATAAGCTGTCAGGCCATCGGTGTCCAAAGAGATTTGTATGCAATAATACAAGCACGCATAGAAGTCTTACATTCAAAAATTAAGGAACTAGCCGTTCCTGCACTAAATTCAAAGTAGTGCAATGTCTCAGAACTCATCTGCTTTATAAATTCACTGTCATTCAGTAGAGAGACATTGAAATACTGGCTTCTGGATGTTGTAGTAAACTGTTGTAGTTGTAAATGTAAGCTGATTGGATCCTAAACTGATAAACAAGAATTTTCAGTCATGCGCATGTGAATTTGTTGAAATAATGTTGAAGAAATCAAAACATCAAAGTCTAAAAAAAAAAAAATCTGATGCACTGCTGAGTAAAAAGCATATTCCCACTGCTTAGGATGTAAGAAATGCCAGGGATCAAATTTAATGTCCATTATGATGTAGTTATAGTTCTCATTAATGATTGTCTTTTACAGTTGAGTATATACCTATCTAATTCAGAATCGAATATTAAAATCTCCATTTATGGTAATAATGGTAATTAACATATTTAAATAATGAAAACAATCATACTGTAAAAAATAACAGGGGGTGTGTTAGGACCATAAACATTGATCATAGCTATATTTATATCAAAGATTTTACCAACTAAAATTACCAGTTACAGCTTGTTGAACTTGTAGAGAGAGAAAAATGTTTATGAATCAAAATGGCCGCCCCTTTCACCTTCCCTTGAAGCATTAAACAAATACACTTACACAGTCTGGTAGACCTTTTATCATCTTCTGTCAGATCTGTCTCCTGTATAAAAGCAACATCAGTTTTGAAGATCTACATCTTGTTTTCTAAATTCTCTAAAACCTTTCGCATTAAGACTAAATGCATATAAGTGTATTCTGTTGGCCCACAAATATATACTACTCAAATACCAGTCTTTTATAAGATCTGAAGTAGTTCTATGTTTGTAAAAAGTATTCTTCTAATAAAAAGATTCATCCTGTTTTTAGAGTTGCATGTTAACAAGTGATCGCTACCTGAATACAAATTAGATAAAGAATATTAGTGTACTGTATAGTAATTAAAGAAAAACAGTAGAATATAAAAGAAAAATAATGTGTGATGAAATAAAAGGAAGAAAAGCAAAAACAGAAACCATAAGGGAAAAAAATAACCTTTCCCTCCCTCCTTCCTTCCTTCCCTCCCTCCCTCCCTCTTTATTAAATAAATAAAGCAAAAAAATAAATAAATCTTGAGAATACAGTGGAGAAAAGTGTGCCAGTACACTGTTGACAGTGAGATTTTGATGTTTAAGATGATCAGAAATTAAGATCATTAATTTTTTAAGTCTAAGTCATTGCATACTATAGGATAAATTGGAAGGCTATCTGCATTCATTTTGTTTAAAAGAAATTTCCCACTTGGTCCTGACAAACGCACTACCAGTCCAAGAGTTTGCCTTGGTCCTCAACACACTGCATGTAACGTTGCAGAGAAGACTAGACTTCCCTCATGCCTAGAGAGAGAATTTGAATAAGCTGTCAACATTTGTGGAGGTGTCTGATTACAACCCTATACATCCATCCTGATCTGTCTCTGGCAGAAAAATGTACAGTTCAGATCCATTAGAAAGGGAAAGAACCATTGAATGATGTCTACGTTTTTAGAATGACTCCCATGTTGAACAAGTAGCAGGACAAGGTTACAAAGGTAACAGAAGGATCCTGAACTCTGGATATGGTAGGAGTGGGGAATCTTTAGTTCTCCAAATGATGTTGCACTATTCATAGCATTAGACAGCAAGGCCTCCAGTAAGGGATGATACAAGTTGTAGTAATCTGGAGGTTCACAGGATTCGTATTGAGGAATTGGGTCTAGTTCAGTGTTTCTTAACATGGCAACTGTAAGATGTCTGGACTTCAGCTCCCAGAATTCCCCAGCCAGAACCTGATAATACAGTTTGTTGTTTATCAGTATTCCAAAAAGAATGCTTTCATTCATGTTCCAATAGTGCAACATCAATCTGGAGACAGAATATAAAGATCAGAAAACCAGAATTCATTCTGAGAACCTGATAATACAGTTTGTTTATCAGTATTCCAACAGGAATGCTTTTTAATGTGTAAGGATATCTGCTGAATCTAGTAAATGCAAAACCAAAGAAACCACATTATGGCACAGTATGTGAAGCCCACCAGTGTTTACCTTTGGACTGGCACCTGATAGAAGAAAACTGATAGTATCTCTCCGAGAGCCAGTTTTTTATCAGCGTATCTCCATGTTTTCCATTCCTAGCTAATATCTTTCCCAGTATCATTCAGTTGCTCTATGCTTTAAATAGACAAGGCCTCAGACAGTTAAAATAAATTTGGGTATATGATATAATTGTAATTGTGGAATGAGTGGAACAATGAATATTTTCATTTAAGGAATTTTGTGCTGACTGGTGATCTCTTCAGAAATGTATTTGAGAAGAGAGTCCCCAGAGCCCTGTCTAAATCATATTTCACTGTGCAATTTGGGTTTTTCTGCAAAGTTATTTCTTCTAGGTTACTAAGTCCTCTGTTAAACAGCTGATTTTTCTTAATCATTTAAAAGCAGGTTTGGCTTGTATAGGTCTCCACAGTCAGTGGAAATTATAAGCAATGTCCTCCTATATCACTGCAAGTGTATGTATGTATGTATATGTATATATGTATACATACACATACATATGAGATTTAAACAAACAAACAAAGACTTTTTTGACCCCATCCCTACTTGGAATAAGTTCTATTTGCACATATTGAAACGTGCTTCCAGATAGGTTTTTGAAAATGATAGAGTGCATGTTTGAAATTCTAACACCAAGCTAATTCAACAAGCTTCACCTATGATGTGTCAGCTTACAAGTGAGTCAGTATTAGTTTTTAAAAAATATTCAAAATATTTATTCAAAACATTTCTATTAAATGTATTTTCTTTACTAACAAAGGAGATATTTTCAAAGAATAAGCAGTAAAATTATTCAGCGTTAACCTGACAACTCAGTATCTTTTTCCTTGTAAATTAGCCTTAAAAGTATAAACAGAATGACCAATAAGACTTTTGGTGGTGGTGGTGGTGGTGGTGGTGGTGGTTGTCGAATCAATTAAAAGTACAAAAACAAGGACCAGTAATTAATTGTTTAGACTCATGCAAGAATGTTAGTTTGCCCAGAGAGTTTTAAAAACTTTTTCTATCGATATTGTTCAGTGCTTTTTAGATCCCTAAATTTCAATCCGCCTTCTATCGTGACAAAATAGAAACTGCTATTCCAGAAATCAACTCTTTAAGTTAATTTATCTTACTCCCCATCTCCTCAAATGGCTTTTTTAAAAAGATGAGCAAAGGGAGAGAAATTGTGACCACTGGGCCTTTAATACTGAGATTTGGTGACTGCAAATATGTTTGTAGCTGAAAAGGTGGAACAGTGCAGATGCTGCCATTTTGTTTCATAATCGAAGATGCCTTCAGTCTGTATCATGGCTTGGAGGGTTTGGCATAATAATGATCCTTTGAGCAAAACTTATAACTATAGAAATCATATCCTTGAGTCCTTGCTTTCTCTGAGAATTAAGGGGAAATGGTCTAGCTTTGATTTCATGAAATCACCACCACACTGAAGTAGCCACGGTTGTCTTAATTGGCTGGAAGCAGAAACAGGCATTGCCAAGGTCTTATATTAGCTTTAAAAAGTGAACCAGCATTAGTAAACGTATTTGCTTTAGCCAAACATTTTATACCATTTGCATCTCTGCTGAATAGTAAACTGATGTGCTCTGTATCTTTCAGATGATCCAGAAACACGGGATGCCTGGTGGGCAGAAATCCGACAAGAAATCAAATCCCATGCAAAGGCTTTGGGCTGTCACGCCGTAGTGGGCTACAGTGAATCAACTAGCATTTGGTAACTCACTGGCTTGATTTCCATAGCTCCTTAGCAATTAACACTTTATCTCTGCAAGTAGCAGAAGGAAAGGTTGAAAAGAAAAGACCAGAGACCTGTTGCATAAAGTTGTGCCTAGGTAATGGGAAGTGGGAGGGCTAAGCATGATGGGCATGTAGTAATATAGCCACTTAGCTGCTGAGACTTAGCAGCATTGTAGGAAGGATGTTATTTCTGCATTGCCGCTGTTTCCTTTGGTGAACAAAGGAACAACAAATTATTCTAAACAACAGAACCTTTACTTTTATTATCTGGGGTACAATACATCCTCACTTGTAGCCTTGTAACCTTTTTTGATCAATGTTATCACCAAGCTATCAAGAAGAAATGCCATTGGGGGACGTGAAGATACAGTGAAGCATGTCCAGGTACAGGTACTCCTTGTTTAGTGACTGCCTTGTTTAGCAACCATTCGCAGTTATGATGGTGATGAAAAAGTAACTTTGCGACCAATTCTCACATTTAAGACCTTCATAGGTCTGTAAAGCCAAGGAAAGCAAAAGTAAGATCATAAGCACAGTTGTGGTTCCACTTAGTGACTGCTTCACTTAATGACTGAGTTGCCAGTCCTAATTGTGGTTGCTAAACTAGGACTACCTGCAAAGCTATAAAGCATGTCGAGTTTTAGTTCTTCCCCCTGTCTGACCATTCAAGATATACAATATATACAATATAGAATGGAGAAACAACATGCTTAGAGGACTTTAAGTGATTTATCTTCCAGTGCTGTAGATCACTAGAAAGTGAAATTCACAAAAGATGTATGATCATCAACTTCCCTGCCCCCCTGCTTTCTTATGCCAGTGTTTTGAGGTCCCTGAAATTATGTGGAACTTATTGCAGAAAAAGGGGCTTCCAGTTTGGTCAAGCATTAAACATTGTCAAAAATGTAGACGATAATAAACGAAACATTTAGTGATGTAAGCGCATTTTACAAATGCAGGCAGACTTTTGTGGTGTTGGTCACTGCTGGTGTCCCCTGCACTGTCCAGTGTGCTTACATATGCACAGTCCAGAATAATTCTTGAATAAAATGGGGTGGGGAAAAAGGAAATATCTTTTTCAGCAACAATCCTTTTGTGAGTGCCAAGAAAAGAGGATCTTTTCACCCAACATCTTCACCAAAGATGTATATGAGGAAAGGTCTTTGTTTCCCTGCAACCATAGAGTTGCAGCTCCTGATAGTATAGTAAATCTTTTACACTCCCTGATTCTTCCAACAGTTTCCTTTTACTGTTTGAGTAAAAAAGAACCTCCAGTTTTTTAATCTTTTTCTTTAGTGAAGTTCTTCAGCCTTTTGTCTGTTCTCCTGATAGATGTGCACAATTTGAAGCTCCAAGAGGGCATACAGTGCCCAAGGTCTTGGAATCAGCTCCCAGGGATTTCCAAAAGTTAATACTGTATAGTCATTTTTAATGGGGTAAAAAGGGAAGAGCCAGTTTGGTCTGGTGATTAAAGGCACCAGGCTAGAAACTGGGGGACCGTGGGTTCTAGTTCTGTCTGAGGCACGAAGCTAACGGGGTGACCTTGGGCCAGTCATTCTCTCTCAGCCCTAGGAAGGAGGCAATGGCAAATCACTTCTGAAATCTTGCCAAGAAAACTGCAGGGACTTGTCCAGGTACCCACCAGGAGACAACACTGACTTGAAGGCACAAAAAAAAGGGGGGGGGGTGAATGACCGACTACATGATGGGGAATTAATCACATTAGCAAGTATTTGATTTACGTGTAAAGGAAGTAAATTTGGGTTTTTTGTCCTGGCACCTCCCGTTTGGGAATGCAGGTCCAACATCCACACACAGCTACTTACGGTCCTCAGCCTGGAAAAAGTCATGCATCTTGGCTACCTTTTCCATTTTGGAGCAGAGCATCCGGCATGGCACGGCACGCCAAATGTGGCCCTTGGCCTTGATTGACAAAGTGTGCCATTGTGCTTCTGGAAAGGGGTTGGCCTTACCACAGTCAACGTATCCACCTTATGGCGGGCAGCTTATTTTTCAAAACAATTCCCCCAAAACTCTCACTTTCAAAATGGATTTGCATTGTTGCTTTTTTTCAGTTTTTGGAAGAGATCTGGCAATGCATACCACTGAACACATGATCTTTCTCTCTCTCTCTCTCTCTCTCTTTCTTTCACAGTGAAGAGGTCTGTATTTTGTCTGCATCGGGCACAGCAGCTGTGCTGAACCCCAGGTTTCTCCAGGATGGAAACATGGAAGTCTGTTTGGAACAAAGGTTGTCATGGCAGCCTGGCTACTTTTCCATAGGGTCAGAGAAGGGAGAGGTTGATTTTTTTCCTCAAAACCAGGATAGTTCTTCTCTATTAGGGTAGGTTACCAGTGTTACAGTACGGAATGCGGGGGCCGGCTACTTTACTGATTTTTCACTAACAACAGCAGAAGTTGTGGGACTCCCCCAATCACTAGTCTTACCGCTTTAAAATTTCTAACAGCGTGAAAAAGGTAACAGTTTGGCTACTAACAACAGAATGCAAAACTTTTCCCCCTGTTTTGAGCTGTCCCTCTCCTAACACTGTGTATGCGGGTGACTCTTTGTTTCCCCTCTGTTGTTAAAGCTCACGTTTTTTGACACGCTATAGCATGTAGCAGTTTGCTCTCCTTTTAAAGTTACAGTGAAACCTCGATTCACAGATCCCTGTTTCGTGGAGCAAATTTCTGCCTCGACATCCCCCCAGCGTCATGTACAAATCTGGACAAGGGAGCTGAATTTACATGATGTTTGGGTCAGCTGTGACAATTGACCACCCTGCATAAGGGCATCAGGCTGACGTGATTTGTCTCACGGTGTCAATAAGCAAATGACTTACATTGTCACAAAGGACATTACGTGCGATTTAACAGACCTCCGGGTGTAACGGGCGCCTTCTTCATGCTTGTCTGTTAAATCGAGGTTTCACCGAATATCATCTTTCAGTTGAAAAGGAGCACGTTGAACTCTTCAATAAAAACCCCACTGAAATGTATTGAACATTAAGTTCATTGCCATCCAGTGGTTCAGCATGCTGTGATGCTCTCTCTGACATCCCCTGGAAGGCAGATTCGTTTGAAGAGAAGTTTGGCATGGGCATCACGAGGAGGGCCCTTTTTGCTTCTTCTCTGAAACTAGTATTTCCTCTGCCTCCAGCATGGATGAGTGGAGACCTGCAATTTTCAATGATTTGGTGCATCTCCGTATCTATTCCCTTGGTTTTCTGTTCTTTTATTTACAAGAGTTAATGGAGTCAGCTTAATTTAAATAAGCTCCATCCTGATTTACTTGGTAGCTAAAGGATCAGCAGCATTATATCATTGTTATCTTTTAATCTGCTTGTGCTTTCAGACAATGTTATATAATCATACTGTCCTTCAGGTCCATGAGAGACTCATATGTTAATGCAATGCTAAAAATTCACGTTTGAGTCCAAATATGTATTGTTACGTTTTTTTGGGGGGGAGAGGACTTTTAATTGCAGGAGGATGGTAACCTAAAGTGGCTTATGTTACCCATACCTCTTGCATTAACAGTTTGTTACATTGGATTAAATCTCAACGTGTCTGCCCTCTGATGTGGTCTCTTCGGTTCAGCAGTTCAGTGGAAACTTTGCTCAACAGATCAGAGAAAAAGTCAATTATTACCAGTCCCTCCCTTCTCACTTGCTTTCTCCTCCATCTGCTCCAGATGGTTGGGGGATCCTTCAGAAGAGTGTGAGAGATTTCAGAGGGGGCTGAGAAAGATAATTATTTCACTGAGACACGTCTTGCTCAACAAAAAGGTGGAGGAACAGCACTAGCTTTTACGCCATGTTTCTAAAGAAAACATTCTGTGCATTCTAAGACAAATCACATTACATATGTCTGAAAATGAAGCTAAACAAACCACGTGTCCTAAGGGTTACTCCTTGTCTGGCAGTGATCCAGACATGCAGTCTGCTTATTCAGCTTCAAAGTAAAGATGTTGTTTCACTGTAGGACAAAAAATACAGTCCAGCTTTCTATGAATATTAAATACATTGTGATAAACCTCAGTTCCCAGTGTGGTACGGTTTGGATTATGTGCAATTGTCAAAACAAGAGAAATTAAATATGGTAAGATAGTCTTAAATGCTTAAAAAAAAAACCCTCTAGCAGGCAACACTTAGTCACTGATTTACTACAAAACCTAGTTGCACTTGTCCCTCTGACACATTAAAATTGCTCCTTCCTTCATAGAACCCTGAACCTAATAATAATAGAAATAAGTAGTTTTGTTGTCTTGCATCTTATACAACCATTGAAACCAAATTCACAAAAAGTTATGAGTTTTCTACTCATCGGCCCATGCATGTGTGTCTGTTAGGAGTTGCTCTGATTTAAAAAGGAGGGGGAAAAAATAAATTATCTGTTTGCTCTCTCAGGGGACAGGAATGGCTGTTGATTAACTTGTTCAAACACAAAAAGCTTTATAAAACAAAACAGACTCTGGCCAGCAATGTGTATGATGTCTCTATAAGCCACGTACAGACTGATATGCATGAACCCACAGCTCTGCAGACCAACCCCACTTAGAAAGTGGGTGTCTGAATGGTAATTTCTCACCATTTGTCTCTTAGGTTAGAGGAAACCTTACCTCCTGCTTGTGGCTTCTGCCACATACCATACGATGAGCTCAACATGCCGTTCCCTGCTCGCCTAGCTTATTGCTGCAGCTGCAGGAAGCAGAAAGTGCCAGATGTTCTTTTCACGACAATAGACTTGCCCATGGATGCGGTGGTGTTTGGGAAAGGATGTCTCATTCAAGCCAGGTACTCAGCAGGAAGGAATGCGGGAAGAAGAGTCACACTTTAATGTAGATCAGTGTTGCTCAATCTTAGCAACTTTAGGATGTGTGGACTTCAACTCCCAGAATTCCCCAGCCAGCCATTCTGGGAGTTGAAGTCCACACATCTTAAAGTTGCTAAGGCTGAGAAACACTGATGTAGATGTTTTGTGTGCAGATAAGCAACCTGGTCTTTCTGGCCCATTCCTTAGGAGTGGCGTACATTTGGAGGAAAGAGATCCCATTTAATCCAGCGATGCTTCTGAGTAGAATATCATTGGCTTTTGCCAAGGACAACACTATTCTGCTGGATTTGGCCAATCGTTCAGTTCATTGTGGCTTTTATATTTAAAATTCCATGCTCTCTTTTAATCCTGCAGAAAGCCTAGGGACTCCGTAGGTGCAATTTGCTCTCAGCCAGCACTTACCTACCCCTGTGGCTTTCTACTTCTTGTAGCTTTTTAAGGCCACATGCTTTGAATGTTGTGGTTCGCTTCCCAACAGGCTGTGCCGGCTGAAAAAGAAAACTCAAGCTGAAGCAAATGCAACTTCCATCAGTAATCTGCTGCCATTTATGGAGTACGAAGTACACACTCAGTTGATGAATAAGCTGAAATTGAAGGGGATGAATGCCCTTTTTGGCCTACGGATACAGATCACAGTGGGAGAAACAATGCTCATGGGCTTGGCAGTAAGTTTTTCATTTGTGCTTAAAAGTTTCAGTATTTTTTTTTTAATTCTGTAGTGTAATATTTCTCCAGTTTTTCATCCTGGAAAAATAATCATGGAATGAAATATGATTACTTTACATGTCTTATAAGCCCAGAATGTCAAGATTTGTTGTTTAGTCGTTAAGTCGTGTCCGACTCTTCGTGACCCCATGAACCATATTGCGCCAGGCCTTCCTGTCCTTCACTGCCTCCCTGAGTTTG